AAAGTCATGGACAAACGTAAATAGCTAAATGTACTCAGAATAAACGGTTAACCTAAATATTAGGGAGAACATTCTTGAATCAGTTAGCTAAAGTGATAAAATGGGGAATGGCTGAAGTCAAGGAACAGTTGATAAGCTAAAAAAAAAAAAAATAAATAAACAGTTAAAATCAAACAGTTAAAATAGTTAGCTTAAAATAGTGGATGAAAATAAACAGCTAAATGTTTTAGTGATAAAGGTTAAAACCACTAACTAAATTTACTGAAGAACTATTTTGAAGTACATTGCTGAAATGGCTAAAAAAAAAAAAAAAAAAAAAAGCTAAAAGTATTAAACAGCTGACATGATTAATAAAACATAATGATAAACAGTTAAAACATTTACAAAATATGATGAAGAACAATTTTGAAATAGCTACCTAAAGCGATAACTGCTAAAATAGCTAGAATAAATCACCAGTTGAAGAGCTAAAGGCCATGAACAGCTGACATGGTTAGCTAAGTGTAATGGACTAACGTAAACAGCAAAATGTACCATTGAAAAGCACTTAGCAGTTAGCTAAATGTTTTGGAGAACACTTTTGAAATGGCTAGCTCATGTAACACACTGCTATAATGGCAAAAATTAAAAAAAAAAAAAACTTGAGGAGCTAAAGGTAATGAACAGCTGACATGGTTAACTAAAAGTAATGGGCAAACGTAAATAGCTAAATATAATGACAAACTGTTAAAACTGTTAGTGAAATGTAATCCAGAAACAACTGAAATATTTAACTAAAGTAATACACGCTAAAATGACTAAAATACATGAATAATCAGTTGGATAACAGCTTAAACAGCTAATTTCTAAAATACACATAAACAGAATAAACTTTTGACTAAAAGTACTTGTTAATATTTGAAACTCAGCCATAGCAACGCTGACAATTCATTTGCATGATGAGTAGTAAAGAAATTTTTATATAATTAATGTTATTAACCCTATTCAGGACTTTTGGGGTCTTTTGGACCCCAGGCCATTTGGTTTAGGTATAGTGTTTTTTTTAATTTTGAAGATTTTTTTTTAAATATAAAAAGATGGCCATTTGTCATGCATTTGGAACCAAAAATGCGTCAACTTATCAGAAAGTTTATTTAACATAGTATAAAAGCCTATATTGAATACCAACAAATTTTTTACACATATTCTTTCTTGGGATCCAGTGGACCCTAAAAGACTTTCTACGTATGGCAACATGAAAATCCTGAATAGGGTTAAACAACCTTTTGGATAATTGTTGAAGGTGAGGGGGTGTTTATCTGGTAGGACTGTAGGGGTATGTGTCAGGAAAAAAAGGATCCTTAACCACTGACTTATTGGCCACCATGTAACAAACATGGCCATTGACATATCAAAAGTGCAGGGAGGTCCCGGAAGAGACCCCATCACCTTAAATACACCATCCTCACCGGCCTGCTGAGTGAGGAAAAACAGTCAGACACATAGACATTTATGTGCACCTGACTGCACACACACACATGCACATCTGTGTGGATGTGTACAAAGACACTCTTCTGATACCACCCAGACAGGCAGACTGCAGACATGAACTTTAACACACTAGTCTGGGAGTACAGCAGCCTCCCTTCTGGGCACTGAGCCAATACAGTAAGGGGAAATACCTCTGAGGCGATCCCCACTGCACTCTATAGCATGATCTACAACTGGGCCACATCAGTTCTCACCACAACAGCACAAAGAAGCCTTTCTTTCTCGGGATTTGTTATTATGTTATCCATAATCAATATTAATCCCCCGTTTCTCAGACAGGCACACATTAATTAAAATGTCTGGAGTTCCTGTGTGGTTTTAAATTACCAGCCAGCTTTCCAAGAAACTGAAGATGAGCATCTCAGCTACACAGAAAAATGAGAGAAAATAGGTATCTCAATTAGACAAAAAACAAAGCAGACTATGAAGTGGGAATGGCATTTTGTTCACATTTTCCATTTTTATTCGATACAACAAAAGTCACTGGGTTAAAATTTGACACCGGTGCCATGCCAGTACAGCACTTATGCAATACTGGGTAACTTTACCTGGTACCAATGAATAGTGTGTGTTTTTCATATTTATTGTTTTTGGTTTACTGGATTTCTTCCCATGGAACAGGAGGGGATCTTCTTCATTCCAGCAAGAAATCTTAGGTTTTGTTTGCAGAGTGTTGCATAAGACCAGTACTCACAAAGGCACCAGTGACCTCGTTTAAAAAGTTGTTTATGTGTTCATGAAAATTGCTGCTGTTTATCTCGCAGCCTTTAAGATAGCTGCGTGCATCTTTTGACTTGGGAAGTCTCGTGTACATGTCTCGTGCACAGACGTTTTCTGACCGAGCAGGTTTGATCTTTGCTCTTTGTTGCACTTTCATCCTTATAACTCACCATCGGTTTGTTTGGCGCTTCTGAAACAGAATTCACGTGTTCAGGTCAGGTAACGTAAATAGTGAGGTCAGATATCTAAGGATTACTGTGGGGCTTCAACGTGGTCTTCTGATATTCCTCTTTTTCACCAGGGGGCTTTCTTCAATGCAGGTGTTTGCATTGATTATATGTTCGCCCGCTGAAGTGTCTGTGATCGCCATTGTGCCACCGAATATAACCGTTAAATCACAGTTCTGCAGCTGTTTTTATCATTCATGCTTCAGTTTTTCTTGCACCTGCACTGTGTCAAACGATATATCAAACTCCAAGCTATAGAAAAATAACTAACTGGCGATCAGCTTGTCCATTTTTCTTTGGTCTGTCAAGAGCTAAACCTTAGACACATCTTAACCACTGGGAATGTTAGTCGGATTTTTTCCCCAGCTTGAAAATAGGCCAAAAGTGCAGAAATTCATACTCATGAGACTGAATCCTGCTCCAGCCCGCAGCCAAATAAATCACATCTTATCTGACCTTTGTAGAGTGCCGCCACATAAAATTGGCCCAGTAATTTCTAAAGAACACAGAGCTTAAGTGTTCTGCCCAAGATCGCGCACCAGCAATGAACAGCTAAAAATCTAAATGTCAAAAGTGGCCCTTTAACCCTGCAGCTGGACATGTGATGTTTCAGCAGCAGGAATTTGTGTGTCTGTTCATGAATGAGTCTAATGTCTACTGTAACACTGTAGAAAACTCCTACTATACTATGCTCCCGTAAGAATAATATGCAAGTCACTGTTATTCCACACATCGTTATTTGAGAAATACATTGAATATGTCATTTTAGTAACAACCTTTAGCAGCCACCAACCCCTATTTCTTCCTTCTTCAGGTTATATGCAGACTTGTGGGATTGTAGCATTTGGCTGACATGCTGTGCTCATAACCTGGGATTTAACACAGTGAAGGCCTGGGGACAGTCACAGTAAAGGATGATTATTAATCATCACCATATTTTAAATTGATTGCACTAAAACATTATCGTAAAACTACAGTAAAAAAAAAAAAAAAAAAAAGGTACTATAATGTTTCAGTCATATGGGAAGTGGGTGATTTATTATTTTTTAATGGAGGGATGGTCTGATGGGAGCAGCCTCTGACCCCACTCAAACAAAAAAAACACAGGCAGATTAAGAAGATGGATGTCTTTTGGTCATTTTGCTAACAGGGGGATGGCATTCCCCCTAATGCCCCTTAAATCGCATATGGTTGTGCTTCTTGGCACTAAACAGCAAGCCAGATTTACTTCTTTAGTACCTACAGCGAAGTGTCTTTATTATTCCAAACTCATTATTATTCAAGTTGGTTTTAAATTTTAGAAGAAAATGTCATGATTTTTGTTGTTGTTTTTTTTTTTTAAGGCTTCCTGAGTTGACACACATGGATTCCATAACCTTTTTAGCATTGATCAAAGTTAGTCATTTTTCCTATTTATTTATGTGTATTTTTTTTGTATGCAACACCCATGCAAAATTACACAGTTGATCAAATGTAATGATGTCAGAGACAAGAGGCTTATTCTGTGAGAATTAAACGTGATTTTACATGTCCTAATGGACACAGTAGGTCGACTGTAAATTTGCTGCTAATATGTGGCGTGTTGTTCTCGCTGGGAGAGCAGAGGTCTCCTGTCAGGCCTCACCATTCTTTGCCAGTCAGTCCACTGTGTTTCTCTGAATCTGGGTGATCTAAGATTTCTAGTTAGAGCATACGAAATGTGGGAGCAAATGTCAGAGCAGATTCTGAGTACAGCCTCGAGGCTGTTACTTCACAGTCCACACACATGGTTCTTTGGACAAATTCCAGTTCAAATGAAATCAGGTCAGGATTTTCTCTCTCGCTAGGAAACCCACCGAGTCAGCAAAAGAATTTGTCATAGCTGGGTAAACAAAGGGCCACCAGGTCTGGAAAAGACAGAGGCTATCTCTGCCTAGTTTTCCAATTTGGTGTGAAATAATGCTGCAGTGTTTCAGTCAGCGGAGGCCTGCAGGAGGCCGCTCAGGGATGTTTTATAGTTACTGCATCAATTAGGGTTTTTCCTGTCTATTTAAGGTGAATCTAACCTCCAGCCTTGTAATCACTTGCAGACCTGGTTTCACCCTTTTAGATAAATGAGATCTATAATAACGTTGGCCTTGTGGGGGGTTTTAAGCACACAGGACATCCTCTCCACAAGTCAGTCTAAATATGTCAATCTGCGGGCTATCAGAGAGCAAAGTGCTTCGCATGGACAGCGATAAGCTCCAGCAGTAACACAGAAGTCATGTATTATTTATCCATGACTTCCACGTGTGCTATCTCTGGGATGGTCTGAGTTCAGCCCTCTGATTGGACACACCTTCTTCTCGGCTCACGCCTTCACAGTCTCATCCCCTGCGGGGCGGGACCGGGCCCGGACTCACACTCATGATTGGCCCAGAAGAGGGAAATTTACAGCTTTTTCTTCTCAGGGTTCGAGGAGCAGGTCGCGCGTTATAAATAGAGCCTGCAGCCGGGAAAACAAAATGAGCACCGACATCCGAGGGACCCGGTCACCGCTCCATGATCTTTGTAAGGAGGATGTTGCAGCAAGCGCTCAGAGTGTCCGGCCGGAGCTCCTTCCCTCTGGTCAAGTGGATGGAGAGGTGGGCCGAAGGCGCAGCAGCAGCCGGGCCGGACGGAACCAAGGCGGTGAGGACTCTGGACGACATGCCCGGACCGTCGTTAGCCAGCTTCGCCTGGGACTTATTTGCCAAACGTGGTCTGTCACGCCTGCATGAGTTACAGGTAAAACACTGAAGAAAACGGAGCGAAATATTCATTGGAAATTCATAGGCTGCATCACAAGGGAGTAAAAATTGTTTGCATGCATGTAGTTGTGGTAAAAAAAAAAATTGAAAAGGCAGAAATTTCTCACTGATAACTTTCGAAACATTTAGAAATACTCCTAAATTGTGAGTGAGGTTTAATAGTTTAAAAACGCCTCTCCTCCCCAGTAAAAAGTTTGTATGTTTATTCTTTCACTGGACTCAATATGTCTTAGTGTATGTGTTACTGGGAGCTTCACACTTCTGGATGTTTTGCATGAATTGAACCAGCTGCCAGATTGTGCCAGTGAGGTGATGATGCATCGTCAGTGAGGATTGTCAAATGTTTGTGCATTTAAAACGACTGCAGGCTTTTTTCATTTCTGCATACTAAGTGCATCTGAAGATGGTGCCAGACTCCATGCAGGCTGCAGGATTTCTAACAAGGTCAAGCCTTTTGTCTCATGTTCCAGCTGGAAGGAGCGCAGCGGTATGGCCCCATGTGGAAGGCCAGCTTTGGTCCCATCCTAACGGTTCACGTGGCCGACCCAGCGCTCATCGAGCAGGTCCTGAGGCAGGAGGGCCAGCACCCTATGCGTTCAGACCTCTCCTCCTGGAAGGACTACCGGAAGCTCAGAGGGCATCACTTTGGGCTTTTGACATCGTGAGTGTCGCACTGCTGTCGCTTTTTTATCACACATTTACTTTCAGACTTTCCCTCTCGTCCATATTCTGTCTCATTTAACACCAGAAGCCCCCGAGACCATGTTAAACTGAATGTAATGTGGCTTTATTGTTGCAAAAATGAGACCGTCACGGATGATTCTTTCAACTTTGCTTCACTTATGGTAGAAATAGGAAATAGCAGTGCTGGAAGATACTCAGCTTAACTACAGTCTAAGATTTCACAGAGGGTAAGAGTGAGAAGCCAGACTTACAAGATTTTAAATCATTTACTCCCTTACTGTTATCGTTGTCTGGTGTCAGCTTCTTTCCAAAATACAAATCTAAAGGTCTTGAGATGTTAAAGTAGCTGAACTGTACGTGCAAGCTTGTTAATTTACTCTGTGATTCTGTAGTGAGGGGGAGGAGTGGCAGGCGGTGAGGAGCCTCTTGGGGAAACACATGCTGCGGCCCAAAGCAGTGGAAACTTATGATAAAACCCTGAACAGCGTCGTCAGTGACCTCATTGTCAAACTTCGCCTCAGCAGACATCCTCAAGGCCTCGTCACTGACATCGCCAGCGAGTTCTATCGCTTCGGCCTCGAGGGTAAGCTTTCATGTTGTCTGAGGTTGCAGCGATACCATGCATCACTACAGTGTGCAGCACGCCATGTAAACATTGGTAATTAGGGCCAGGCGCGTGCAGGAATATTGTGAGACGTCGCTGACTTTTTAAACATACACGCCTGGCATGCCTTAATAAGTTCAACATTTCCATCATAGATCAACAACTTGTAACCCTCATGTCACCTTTGCAGTTTTTTACTGATGTAAAGTTTGCAAAACTTAAATAGAAGCAATACCATGCATCACTACAGTGTGCACCATGCCATGTAAACATTGGTTTACATTATGGCCTCCTGGCCCTTTTCAGGCGAGGCAGTGATTGTTTTAGCAGGTCAGTATCTCTTCACACCTGGCTTCAGTCCATTTGTGCACTCCGCAATGTAATGTACATTGATAATTTTAATCTTACCTGGAACCCTCCCCCTTTTTTTTTTTTTTTTAATGAAATGATGGTATCCATCCCATTAATCTGGGAGCATGTGTCTTAACGGATAATTTATTTTGCGTTGTTCTCAACAACCCAAAACATTGGCTAATTTGCACCTGTCGGCCAATGCAAGAAAATGACTAATTAACCCCACCTGTACCACAACAAGCCCCACTAGTCTCACCAGTACCCCCTTGTGGCCTACCTGGAACAGCTACTAATAAAAATTTCAAGGTTCATTACCACTATGGACACCAGAAGATTAAAATCAAGAAATCCAGTCCTAAAAAAAATTACCGTTAAACAAAACTATTCTCCACTCTTAATTAAGCTGGGACCATTTGGGATATCTTCTGTAAGCCAAAGAGCATACTTTGTGGTCCACTGAATATTAGGAGTATTGGTAATAATTGTGAGCAAGTTGAACATCTTCTTAGTGATTCCAATATTGATATCCTGGGTATCTCTGAGATATGGTTAAAACCAAAATCTGCAGAGACCTTAATAGCAATGCCAGGATATGAAGACTTCAGGAAAGATAAGGATAAAGGCAAAGGTGGTCTATATGTAGAAAGCACCATAATAAGCAGACAGCTTGAAATGCCAGCAGAGATCATACTGTGTAAGGGTAGAAGTGACACTATCAAATGAAATGTCTTATCTTAGTCTGTCTTTATCGACACCCATCCACTAAAGTAGATTTCTATGATCATTTTAAGTCAGTATTAAACTCGCTTGGTCAAAATGGGTAATCATCCTCGGGGACTTTAATATCGACTGGGATGACACACGAAGAACGAAAAATCTCAAAAAACTTACAGAAAATTGTAATTTACAACACTTAATTGAGCAACCAACAAGACTGACAAATAAATCAGACAAGAATTTGTCTTTTGTTTACTAATAAACCTATCAGAATAGCCAAAACCTGTAACTTTTTGACAGATGTTTTGGATCATAATGCCATATTTCTGTCAAGGAAACTTAACAATCGATGGTCTTGTGAACAGTTCAGTGTCTCTTTTATTGCTATGATTAATCGAGCCAATGGGGAAAAAAGTGTGGGATACAATCAATAAACTAATAGGTAAGGATAAAAAACACAATACAGAGAGGGCCGAGTTAGAATTTATTAATATTGTGGAGAAGGATCCCTGGAAAATAGCGAATTATTTTAATAGTTGTTTTATTAATAGTGTGCTTGATTTAAGACACTTGTTTACCCCCAAACATATTGCACCTAGTTTGATCAATAAGTCAGTCAATCTTTCGATGAGAAAAAATAACAGAGACAGATGTAAGACAAATTATTGGAGCATTTAAATGCTCCAATGCTAAAGACATCCATGGCATTGACTCAAACTTTTTTTTAAAACGCATGTCAGTACTCTCTTACAACCTGTTACTCAATTGGCAAACATGTCAATCGATCAAAACGGTCCCCTCCTCTTGGAAGGTGGTCAATGTCACTCCTATTTTAAAATCAGGTTCAAAACTACAGGTAGAAAACTATAGGCCTGTTAGAATTCTGCCAATCATCTCTAAGGTAGCTGAAAAATGGATGGCAAATCTGCAGCAGTCTGGTTTTAGGGCACAGCATTCCACTGAGTCAGCCAACTGCTTGCTGGTAGAAAAAGTTAGATGCTCATTAGACAAATATACATATGTAGGAGCCATATTCCTCAATGTCACCAAGGCATTTGATACGGTTGACCACAAGGTTCTCTTAACAAAACTTGCATAATTACATTTTTTAGATGATGCCTTATCCTGGTTCAAATCAAACCTTTCTAATAGAAGTCAGTGTGAAACGGTCATTGGTGTCAAATCCCTCAATCTCTGCAGCTCTGTTGGAGTTCCTCAGGGTTCAATCCTGGGTCCTCTATTGTTCTCCCTATATATTAACGAGCTTCCTGATATTTGTCCTGATTTCAATGTTCAGATACACGCAGATGATGCGGTAATCTTTATGCATGGATTAAACACAAAAGATATTGCATCCAAAGTCGCAAATGCCCTGAACAAGATACAGGACTGGCTTCAGAACAGCTGTCTCATATTGAATACAAAAAAAACCCCCAAAACTGTCTGCATGGTTTTTAGTAAGCATCCGATAGAACAGCTAAGACCCAACATTTACACTGGGGATGAGGAGCTGGAACTTGTGTCCCATTTTATATATTTTGGGGTCGTATTAGACTTCAGAGTATCGTTTAATAAACACATTAAAAAAAAGTTGCTAACACTATAAAATTCAACCTGCAAAATTTTAGGCAAATTATGATGCTGCAAAATCTTGAGTACTGTTTCGTAATTTGGTTTCTTGCCACTGGTACCTCTCCAAACCTATAGGGCAACTATAGAGGTCCATTAAAGTGTTTGCTTAAAAAAAAATTAAAAATGTACTAATTTCGTCACTGTACTCTTCTGGAGACGTTTAACCTACTGAGTTTTTAAAAATATTACAATATTTGAATGTGCTTGCTTAATTTATAAAACTATTAGCATGTCCCCACCACCTTCTAAAAACTTCTTTAAACAAAAGAGCAATGTTGTTAGTAGGCTTACAAGATCGGTCTGCAGAGGAGACTGTGAGATCCAGTTCTGGAGAACATCTACAAGCCAAAACTTTGTCTGTAATGTCTTGTAAAAGGTGAAATGGTCTTCCTGCTGGGGTTAGGGAATGTTCTACCTTCTCTAGTTTTAAAAACAGCCTAAAAAATGGCTGGTCGCCAATCAGATCTGTGATCATGTGTAAAGTCTTTCTAATTGTGTATTTTTTTACAAATATTCTATTTATTGTGATGTTAACTTAATTATGATTAATACGAACCAATATATTTATTATTTTACTAATAACGAGGGCAACGGATGGAAACTACCTTTAGCTAAATCTGGCATATTTACACAAAGTCATTGTACTGTATGTGTTCATTAATATGCACTGTCCTCTTCCAAGTAAATGAAATTAAAAGAAGGAAAAGGAGCATTACCAGATAAACCAAGCCATCAAACTTATGCACCACTTTGTGCACAGCATTTTCATGTTGTAGCTGGTTTACATGGGGATACATCCATTTAAATTCCTCTGCCAGATTTTCTCAGACTAAACACAGCTTTGATCAAATGACTGTGTTCGCATGCACGGCTCTCAAACGTTTACTCTACTGTCATCACTGTTTTCATGCTGTTGAATGAAAGCAGCATATAGACACGAACTCTCATAGAACTTGGTTCAATGAGAAACTGCTCATCCTGCCAAAATTCACATTTCTAATGACTTCTAATGCAACATTATAAATAGCCATCAGTAAGACCCTTTTTCTTAGTCATTTCTGCAAGAGCCAGATATAAATATTGAAAACTTTCTGTACATCAAGCATGTAGTTGTTACTGAAGTGGGGGATTTTTTTCCCCTCCAGCTATCAAATTCTAGTTTGTATTTAGTGTTCAAGCCAACAATATTGTAAATAAGTAATTTTGCAGTAAAGAATCTCTTGATCATGTTGTTATCAGTCAGTGCTAAAAACTCTTAAATACAAATGCATCTAAACAGCAAGCCTCTTGTCTTCTTCTAATGTACTGTGTGTGTGTTTTTGTTTTCTTTTTTTGCCAGGTATTTCCTCAGTGTTGTTTGAATCCAGAATCGGTTGCCTGGATCAGGTTGTTCCAGAAGAGACGGAGCGATTTATTCAGTCAATTAACACAATGTTTGTGATGACGCTTCTCACCATGGCCATGCCGAAGTGGATGCACCAGTTGTTCCCTAAACCCTGGAGCGCCTTTTGTCGGTGCTGGGACTACATGTTTGAATTTGGTAAGTTATTTCTCCAAATAACACATTTCAGTTTAAGGAGTCACTTTAGGAAATGGCAGCAACATGTGTGCCCACTGAAACTCAAATAGCACTGTATTTAACAATCATTCTTTTAAAGTAAGAAAAAAGAAAGCTATGATTTAAAAAAAAAAGGCAGAAACATAGACATAAAATCTAACATATTTTGTGGAAGAAAAAAAAAAAACATGCACCAGCATGGAGATTCAGCAGATTCTAGCAGATATTATAAAGAAGCTTCGGGCTATACTCGCAGCTCGGAGATGCATTACACAAGCTAGCACCACAACATGGAATCAAATAAACACAGAGGCGGAACATACTGTATATCTTTCCACACTTGATGTAGTTATATTTTCCCTCTGCTCTCCTTGCTCCTCATTGGCCACTGCTGGTTTTCACTCAGCACTGCGCTGTCATCCCACTCGCTCTTACAGTACATTAAGACTTATGCCGATCCGAGACATCAAACATGTTTAAAATAATCTCGCTGGTCCAAGCTAGATCAGAAGGCAGGAGATTAAAGTCTTTAACCCTCACGCACTACAAGATCATCCGCAACGAGCGTGAAGTCCTCATCGTTGTTGGTCATGCAATTAATGCATGGTTTTAGGCACTGTTTAAGAAGGATAACTCGATCTCGCTTCATTAAAAATGACACCCAAAAAAGCTTTGAGACTTACCACAATGTGTCAGGATACTTGAGTGAGTCTGTAAGTTTATTTGCATTTACACATCGTAGCTTGTTTTCTATAACGGCCTCTGATCTCTCTGCAGCTAAAGGCCACATCGACCAGCGTCTGATGGCCGAGGCGGAGAAGGTCGCCCGAGGAGAGAAGGTGGAGGGCCGCTACCTCACCTACTTCTTGTCACGGACTGGGATGCCCATGAAGACAGTCTACAGCAATGTCACAGAGCTGCTTCTTGCAGGAGTTGACACAGTAAGAATGACTGCTCCACCTTTGTTTTTACTGCTTTAAATCCAACAGGTTGTTAAAACTGGCCTCCCCTGCATCATTTCAGATCGCCAGCACTATGTCCTGGTCATTGTACGAGCTGTCCCGTCACCAGGAGGTGCAGGAAAAGCTCCGGGAAGAGGTGTTGACCGTGCTGGAGGGTCGAAGGATGCCAGAGGCTGCAGATGTGGCCCGCATGCCTCTCCTGAAGGCCACAGTCAAAGAAGTGCTGAGGTATAACTCAAAAGTCTTGGCCATTTGAATACACTTTGAAGCTTTACATTTTATTTTGCTTACAGTTTTGAAATTTGTTTTTCCAGGTTGTACCCTGTCATTCCTGCTAACGCAAGGGTCATCACAGAAAGAGACATCCAGGTTGGAGGCTACCTCATTCCTAAAAATGTGAGTCTTGGCACCACTTAGGTTTTAGGGATGTAGGTAGTTCACTATGTAGACTCCTGTCGTCACAGTAGAAAGAGCTTTCAGTTTGGTCTGGATGTATTAATGAATGACTGAATGTGACTGTAAATCTTCCCATCTAGACTCTCATTACCCTGTGCCACTTTGCAACATCACGGGATCCAGCAGTGTTTCAGAATCCAGATGATTTCCAGCCCTGCCGATGGCTGAACAAGGACCAGACTCACCACCCGTACGCCTCTGTGCCCTTCGGTGTGGGAAAACGCAGCTGCATAGGACGCCGAATCGCCGAGCTGGAGCTCTACCTTGCACTAGCCAGGGTGAGTTGGCTTGACTTTGTCTTATTTCTTAAAACCTTTCAACGTAGGTAATTTGTGAAATGACTCTTGTCAGAGTTCCAGTTACAGTGTACTGATGTGCTTCAGCAGGAACTGAGTGTCTGATTATGTTTGAGATGAGAGCAGTTTTATTCTCTAGGTAGCTATATTAAGTATGTTTTATTGTACTCTATATGCATTAAAAATATATAACATAAGATACAATAAAATTGAAGAGGTTCATCACAATATAATTTTCATGAATACATATATAATGGAAATAACACATTCTGGTACATACTGTATGTATACAGATTGTTTAAATTATTTAACAAGTAGTTTAACTAGTGCACGATTCGATACGGTTTTGTCACAAACTGCAGTGTTTCCAGCAAATCCTCTTGCCACACTTGGTCTTGGACTAATGCAAGAAACTAAAAGAAGGGGCTTTAAGCAGTTGTGCAAATCCAGTTCCTAATGAATTAATTTGATTAGTTAATCCGGGGATTTCCCAGTCACAACCCAGCACTTGATTTTTTTCTTTTTTTCCTTCATTTCAATCACCCGGTCTTAATCTGTTTTGTCTGTTTCTGGTCTCATTAGATCCTCATAGAGTTCGATGTGAAGCCGGACCCAGAGGGGGTTTCTGTGAAACCCATGACAAGGACGCTTCTAGTTCCTGAAAATGTCATCAGCCTCCAGTTTATTGAACGATGACCCACTCTCCTGAGCTGATCAGTTACGTGAATGTGAACGTGAGTCCCTCGGCAATTGGAAGAACTAGCGGGCGGCGTTATCACAGGAACCGTGATCCTGCTGCACGCAGCCGTTCTTGTCAGAGCAGACCTTCAACCTTCGATGGAGGCCAAACACCTTCGTACCTGCAGCCTGTGGTGTGCACGCCGACATGTGGGGAATGACGAATGAAAGAAGGGGTGACAGCTCATCACTGAGGCATTTCACTGGGGAAGGTGTTGCAAGCAACTTAACACTGTTTTTAACTAAAGAAGATCACCGCTAAGTGCTTATTTGCACACAGGCCAAGAGCAAACAAGTGATCTCCTTGTGTACTGTTCAACAAACAGCCCTCATTTTATCCTCAAAGTGAGTCACACCATGTTACATTTCATGGAGTCTGACACTAAACTGCAGTATTCAAAGCAGATTTTCCCTGAATCTGGTGACCCTTTCCTAAATCTGATTATGAACTGTGATCTTGTGCACTCTTGAAAACATAGTATCAGCAATCTCCTGCGTGCCCTGATCGTGCAAACATTTCATTTCAAGAGCGTTTTTGTATTTGTCCAGTATATTAGAAGAGCTTCAGGCTGGCACATGGAGCAACTGTTTATTTTCCACTCTGATTGAGCTGCTGTGAGGGTGCTGTGTGAATGCGATGTTCTGTATGATGTGTTTTTATAAGGGGAAAAAGACTTTGGTTACGGGTTCCTTAAAGAAAAGGCAGCTGTTGAATTATTCCCGTATAGGAAACATGGTGCCAATGAAATCCCAAACATAGGCTACTCTGCACTGAGGCTTTGCAAATCTGTATATTGTCTTCAATTCCACAGCACAGCACAAGTTCATCTCTTTAATTTTTTTTTCTTATCTTTTTTTTTTTTTGTTACATCTAAACCCACTCTGAGTAATGCAACTTAAATGTGTAAATAATAGGTTTCAGGATCTGAATTTTATTTATTCTAATTTAACTCCTTTTGAGACTGTTACTGTAAATGTCAATAAAAGTTTTCAAGCTGCATCTCTGCCCGTTTGTTGATTTTATTTGGCCTCACTAACAAGAAACCTGTTCATAGCAGTAACATCACCTGTTTCTGTGAAGCCTCCATGTCACGACTCAGCATTGAAGTCTGCTTTACCACCATCACCTGCATCAGATTAGGTATTAAACCGGTCAAACGTGCTTGTAATTGTCATTAGTTTGATACCAGTAAACAACCACTTGGCACGCAGGCAGCAGCTTTTTCAAACGTTTACAAGAAATACAATGCTGAGTATCAAAGTTCCTGTGTGACGGGATCATGTGAACTGCACAGCGTCAGCCGTGGTGCAGCTGCTGTGGATCGATAAGTTGGACCAAGTCACTGCCTTGCACGTTGCGTTCTACAGACATGGAACGTTGATGGTCTAAAATGAAACAATTATTGTAGCATTCAAACTTATTTATGTTAGATGTGTGAGCTTCACTTTGAAGATGTTTGATATGCAAGAAGTTAAAGACCAAAAAAAAAACAAAATCAATATGTTACTGTAAAGTGAAACGCAAATGGGAGAAACACCATCTGGTGTTAAGAGAAATGTTGCATGTGTTACCCTGTATTATGTACATCAGCAAGGGCACTGGAAAGACCATAAAACTACACTGGAGAGGTTTGAGATCCCTGTTGGGAAAAGGGGGAAAAAATGAGGTGTGGTCTATTAGGGTGGAGAATTCAATAAATTCCCATATCAAGGCTGTTGATCTTCAATGGTCTCTTATTATTATTATTATTATGAATAAATGTCAGTATTATTATTGTAGATACAGAGAGTTGATTTTAAACCACTACCTTTTTATAGAGTTAAATGTCAATAAATAATCCTTGTAATTAGTTAGATGTCCAAAATACATCCACAGAAAATAACAGAGTTCCAGCCTGCTAACAAAAACCATTCATTCAGCTCATATTCAGTCTGGTATAAAATGAGCAGGCCTGTACTCTTCCAGTCCAGCAGGCGGCGGTAACGAACCGTTGGGCTGTTTGATGAAACCACACAGGAAGAAAACAACAGTTTAGCCGAACGGCTAATGCTAACAAGGCAGACGATAGTCGCTCGAGTTAGCCATGTAGCCGAGACAACGTATTAATAAAAAAAAGGCATAAACATATGATATAAACTGAATTTCACGGATTAAATACCGCAACGAAGGAAAATAGTGAGGAAAGGTGAGTCGTAAGACAGAGTAGCTGGTTGTATTAGCTCGTTAATCAACCGAAGGCCGCTAACGCAAGAGCACTGTGCTAGCTAAGCTAATGTCGGCAGCCAACATAAACCACCGTTATTTGGATTAAAGTATTTATTCGAGCTAAACAGAATTAAGTGCAACATTGTTTGAAACAACGATATTAGTTTTTTACGTATTGCTTAATATGCTATTTTGCAGGCAGCAGGAGAGGCCCTGTGGCTAATATGACATGTAAACAAAGGCATCGGAAAGCTAATTATCCTCTGACTCTCACATACAGGAACACAGCGGTTGGAAAACTAGATTTCATGTAGTGTTATAAAGTATAATTGTGGATAACATAGTTTAATCCGTCTGTCTGGTTTTAACTTTATTTTCAGCAGATCTGGACGAATTTGGGAAGATATCTAGTTATGTTGCTGTCAAATATTGTGATTTGCAATTTATTTTCTTAAAGCTTCAGCTCAGTATACACCTAGTCATGGATCTGAAACATGTGATGGATCATTACCACATGAGACACCTACAAACTTGCAGCTGCTCTATATTCTGTGAGAACTTCTTCAAACATGTATTTATTTAGCTTGATAAGTGGCATAGGAGATAAACCAATGATCACAAAATCTGTGACTGTTAGGATAAATAAATACATTACCGTTAATAGAAAATCCAATTATTCCAACACAAAATAATAGGATGTTTCTGTAAACAGACTCTTGACATTGAAACAGGTGGGTCATTCGTGGCTCTGGGGCAGCATCTGAGTATTGCACATTCTGCATTCAACCTTAAAATTGTAAACTTTTTTTTTTTTTTTTTTTTAAATTAGCCTTGCTCAGACACAATGTGTAATGTGTATTTTCAATGGCTTCGTTTCAAACTGTAAATTTGAAGTTGATGAAGTGTTTAGTTCATGTACAGTTGTACTATCGTGTGTGTAGATACTGTGGAGGTGAAAGCAGGTCGATGTATTTTTAATGAGTTTGAGTCGAGGATGAACTGATTGTAGCAGTAAACTAAGCTAATAATGACTGTTTCAAAACTTGTTAAATTATAAGTTATTGTTAAAACCGCTGAATCAAAGGCAGATAACTTAATTTGTGCTGCACCGTTGAATTGAAAACAATATGTACAGATTTCCAAAGTCTGAGTGCAGAGTAGCTTTTTGGCACTGTTGTTTTTTCTTCTGGCTCACCCTTTAATTGCACAAACCTGTGCTGCCACCTGCTCTTTGAAGATAATAAAGCTACTCTTGAATTGAAATTGTACATGGCTATAAATACATGGAGATGAAGAGTTCAAAAAAAAAGTTAAAGGTTCAGGTTGTGAGGCACAGAAAGTGTGTCAAGTTTTGCCATGTCTGCCATGAGCCTTGATACTCTTAGAAATGTTTAAATTATTTCCAAATGTGTTTCCTGATGTTTTGTGGATCAACAGATGCAGGCTGGAGACCCTGTGGTTGGTGCTGCAATGGGAGTAGCTGGAGCTCAGAGTCGCTCAGAGGACGAAGAGTCTCTTGGAGTAAAAGATGTGAAAAGGACAGCAGCGCAAGCATTTGGCAGTGGAGTTGTTCCCAAACGTAGAAGTTCATCCAGGTCTGATTTATGATCTCCATAGTACATTGTTCTAGCAGTAAACAAGCATAGTGTGTTTTGTTGGCAGTAAAAGTAAACACAACTGTTGTGTTGCATAAGGTGGCTTCAAGTACTTGATGTTATTATTTAGAGCTTCAGTAAAAAAGCAACTGGACTTCTCTTTTAGATTCTTGGTGATGTTTTAACCATAGGTATGTATAATAAAGGCTAGATGTCTTGTCTGCGCTGCCGGCCAATGGAATCGCATGGCCACACTGGCGGCCATCTTGGTACAGTACACTCACTCAAGCATAACATTGTGTTGTAGTGTTGCATGTACTTTTAAAATCACCATAACTTGCTCAGTTTTCTACCGATTTTCAAATGGTTTAGTTTGTTATAAACGTCAGAGGTGTAGTTATAACACTGCACTTATGGATAATTATGTTATACTCTCACGGCTGTCACCAATTTGTATTTTAATTGTTTTGTATTTTATTTGTTTTTTTGTAATTTGAATTGTAGCCACGTTAGTACCGTTTGTAAGAAACCAAACCGTTTGTAAATCCGTCACGATTTCAGCGAGATAAGAGTATTTACATTTGTGCAGATCACTCACCTTCCTTCACGTACCACAGGTTCCGCCAGAGAGCTTCCCCATATCAAGATGGCCGAAGGGTGATCCCTTTCGAAACGCCACCTTAAGACATCTAGCCTTTATTATACATATCTATGCCTCTCATCCAAGAGGCTTCTTCAGAACTAAAAAAGTATATAGAATGCAGTCTCATATTTTGATGCAGCTGAAATCATGAAGGAGCTTACTTTATTTTTATTATTACATGTTTAATGTAATATCAAACATCAGTCTAACAGTGCTTATTGCCTCATGGTTGCGTTAAACCAGTTGCCAGCCCTCACAGATATTGTTGCAAACCAGTCGTCCTTCAGAACTGTAGAAGCCTTTTCAATGGGATGTGAAAAGTCAGCAAGAACCTAAAAGAGAAGTCCAGTTGCTTTTTTACTGAAGCTCCTGGGATTACCATGACCTAGATGACTACATCTACAGGATCTACACATCAAGTTGTTTTTCTGTGGCGAATCTGTAAATATTTAAAGAATTGCTATATACATTTTTACACAATAATGTGCTTAGGTCAATAAAGAGAAAGAAGTTTGACGATGAGCTGGTGGAAAGCAGTCTCGTCAAATCGTCCAGCAGAGTGAAAGGCCCTCCCGTCATAGAGCCTGTCCGCTGTTCAGGGAGTGAACCTTCATCAAGCGAGAAAAAAAAGGTATGAAAAACAAAGCAGTTCCACAGATTCTTGGAGGATGTTGTGGCAGAGGTGATGAACTTACATAGGTTGGATGAATTTTTTTTGTGTGTGTTCTTTTGTGTGTCTCTGTCAGGTGACAAAATCAGGAACTGCTCTCACACCACCTCTCACAATGGTAGTAAACCCTGCACCTATGACCAAAAGAGTGAAGAAAAGCAAGCAGCCTTTACACATTACTAAAGACCTGGGACGGTGGAAACCTACAGATGACCTGCTGTTAATAAATGCAGTGTTGCAGGTGAGTGGTCCAAACGATAAAAATTATTGTCAAAATACACCTGAATTAATGTTACTAGTTTACCTATGATGCCTTTTGTTGATTTATGATTCAATGAGACATTAGTGTGAGTTGCACACACCATCAAACTTGTGCGTTTGTTATCCTGTGTTTGACTCTAGACCACTGATCTAACTTCTGTTCACCTGGGGGTCAAGTTCAGCTGCCGTTTCACTTTGCGAGAAATTAAAGAGAGGTGGTACGCTTTGCTGTACGACCCCGTCATCTCAAAGTAAGAAACTAGGCACAGAGCAACTTCACACTGTTACTTCTCTTGCTGTTTACACCTCTGTTGTTGAACATTAGTCCTAATTTTGTCTGTCTGTGTAGGCTGGCATGGCAGGCCATGCGGCAGCTTCACCCAGAAGCAATTGCAGCAATCCAAAGCAAAGCCCTCTTCAGTCAAGCCGAGGAGGCACTGCTGGCTAAGATTGGTTCAGTAAGTGACACTGATACTACGTCAGCAGTGAAGGTCGGTTTTTAATGTCTGACAGATTGACACATTGTGGCTAAAGAAAGTGAGGAAAAAGAATTTACCCAGAACTATTGACTTTTTGTCTAGATGTCGAGCAATTGTTCTTTTTAAGATCTGTGTTGTTTGCCAACTCATGACATGTAAAATTCCTTATAACTGACACATTTGCCTGTAGTATTCACAAGACAGATTGTATTCTGTTTCTCTCTGTATAGACTAGTCAGCCCAAGCTGGATGTCTTCCAGGAGCTTTTGAGCAAACATCCTGGTGTCTTTCACCCATCTCGCACTCCCAAGAGCTTGCTGGTGCACTGGCAGCTGCTCAAGCAGTACTACCTACTGGATGACCAGAGTGGTGAGTTGAGTTACCCACATATTTGAACCAAATGATGAATATTTGTTAATACAGTTTGATTAATTGGACACTTAAAAACCATACAACTTTAACTCACATATACATCAAATATCTTTGTAAACCCTCATTGTATTGTGGGAAATACAATGAGGGAATCAAAACCTTTGACAAGAAAGATGTTTATATGCATAATTTAAGAAGGTCTTGTTTGCTTTATGCACAACTGTGTTTTGACCCTTTAAGTGAAAAATAGGCTAGCTAACATGACACTCAAAATAGATGGGTTTTTTTTGGCATGCCTCATGTTATAGATGCAGAGGATTTCTAATATGTTTTCTTAAATAAAATGATGAGTGTATCAGCTTTGTATCTAATAGTGTTGTTGACTGACTGTGCATTGCAGTACAGCCCCTTCCTAAAGGTGACCAAGTCCTCAACTTCTCTGATGCTGAGCAGATGGTTGACGATATTAAGTTAAAGTAAGTTTTTCACTTTGCAGCATTCATTATTTTCCATCTTCTTATATTCTATGACCATGACTGTTAAGCCCTGATCATTTTTTGGGGTTTCTTTCCACGCAGGGAGAGCAGAGATGAGGTGTTGGAACATGGTAAGAAATCTGACTGTGCAGAGACCCATTCATTACGATTAATTTTGCATGAATTCTCGAATGAAAAATGAAGTTCAGATGCTTCGTGATAATTTTAACTTCACAGTTTGAGCCAGTAATAATAGTTTTGGTGATTTGTAGTTGAAAGGTTAGAGTGAGTCTCCATGGTAACTAAAATAGTAATATTCCATCAATTTGGCCAATCACAACATGGGAAATTATTATTAAATTCTGCATAGTCATACTTTTTTATTTACAATAATGTACGATACACATTTCAGTTTAGGGAACAAATCTGGTTGTCTTTATATCTTTAGAGTCACCGTGTCTTAAAATCAGACAGTGTATAGATTTTCTTCTTAGTTAAAGATGAATGTGTGAATTGTAATATTTGAAAGTGAAGACAAGCATCACTGTGTCAGTTATTACCTTGATGACTGACGAATCATAAAAGCAGTAATATTATTAAACATGTATCTTGGGTAACAAACTATTATTCAAACAGAATTTTGATTTTGACATTATTGCTCTTTGATATTGCCTGAAAGGAAATTGCATGTCAGATTGCTCCTTCAGGTTTAGCAGGAGGGGAGAAATTCTGAAAAATCTGCTAGCAGGCAAGTTACAAGTTTCAGGACTGGTGTCACAAAAGATATATGTCAAATCCAAACTACAAGTTTTCCCTTCAAAGTAACCCCCCTGGAGTCTAACACACTTTCCCAGCCTTCTCTGCCACACCGCCATGCACCCCTGGAAGGATTCTTCTGGGATTCTCCGCAGCTCCGTCGTCACAGCCATCTTGATGTCATCCACGTCTTCAAAACAGATCCCCATGATGACCCCCTTGAGCTTGGGGAAGAGGAAACAATCCCACGGAGCCAGGTGGGGGAGGTTACTCCAGCACGGTGACGTTCTTCTCAGCCAGGAACTGTGGGATGCTCAGGGCATTGTGAGCAGGCGCGTTGTCATGGTGACTTGTCCTGCCACAACCCTCACCTCTTCTCGCACACTGAACGAAGCAAACGCCACAGGATCTCTTTGTAGACGTGCTGGTTGATCGCCTGAAGGGGAAAACTTGTAGTTTGGGTTTGAAATATATCTTTTGTGACACCAGACCTGGAACTCTTCTGACACACATTGTAGGTTCAAAGTAAGTTAGTGTAGTAGCTGAACCGGAATTGCAGTGAGTTTCCCTCATCTCTAAGTGTTCAGTATAAATTTGTTTTCTGGAATAAACCACTGTTTCACTTTCATGACCCCTTTCAGAGCTGATGATTTCCGATCGTCACCAGAAAAGGGAGATCAGACAATTGGAGCAGGAGTTGCCTCGTTGGCAGGTTCTTGTGGACAGTATCACAGGTATGTAAACTTACATGTATCAAGGACAAGCAGCCTTCATGTCCGTATTTGTTTAATGGAATCTAGATTTGTGGAACCTATTTGTGTTCATGCGTTTCTGCGCCACCAGGGATGAGCATGCCTGACTTTGACAACCAGACGCTGGCAGCATTACGAGGCAGAATGGTACGCTACCTCATGAGATCGCGAGAGGTAAGCAGTCTTTCAGAAAGCGGTGACTACAGAGAAACAACACTGAGATATCATACTTGTTCTCTAGGGAAGTGAATGAATTTCCTATCTGTGAAGATGTTTGATGCTAATCATTGTTTCATTCATGTTCATACAGATTACATTGGGAAGAGCAACCAAGGACAAACAGATAGATGTAGATCTTTCACTAGAAGGACCTGCCTGGAAAATATCAAGGAAACAAGGTGATTTAACTCATATGTCATCTCCTGACACCCAAAGCAATGTTACTAAATAATTAAGTTGTTGCTGACAGCAGCTGGGAGAATAGAAATAGAAGAACAGAAACCAGTGAAACATTTCCACAGTTGTGTTTTTGTAGCACTTGAACATACTGCCATTAAATATTTAAAACATTTTTCAAGATATTAGTATAATTCAGCCAAAAGACAAGGATATCTTATATTTTTAAAGTGCATTTGCTCACAATATGTAAATCATGAGAATTGAATAAAAGCACAAATGTACATATGTAAGATTTGAGTCATACAGGCTTGTATAAAGAGTGTAGCCATTCATTTATTTATTTTATGGATCTTATTGTCAGGTTAAATCTTTGTGTTTTAGCTTGCAGTAATTGATAAACCTGTGCTGTTACTGGCACAAATATACTGCTAATAATCAGTCAGTCATTTTGATTTACATGACCTTTGCTGTGTTTGTGTTGACAGGAATTATTAAATTGAAAAATAACGGTGATTTCTTCATCGCCAACGAGGGCAGGCGGCCCATCTACATAGACGGCAGACCGGTCCTGTCGGGAAACAAGTGGAAGCTAAACAACAACTCAGTGGTGGAGGTGTGTTGTTGAACGTGTTGACCAAGTAGTATATGTTTCAAATTCAACAACCATGACATGCTTCAGTGATGCTGAGTGATGCTGAGCTTGTATCTGTCTCTTCAGATTGCAGGTCTTCGCTTTGTGTTTCTAATTAACCTGGAACTCATCTCACTAATAAAAGCTGAAGCAGCCAAGATGACGCAGCAGTGAATGTCAGCCATCCAGCAGGAGAATCGGCCTGTAGCGGGCAGTCTGTGTAGAACAGTGGATACAAATGCTCTTGTGAGGAGCAGCAGAGCTACCAAGAACTGGACTGACCTCGGTGTTGTTACCCATAAACTTGAAATGTGAAGTTTAAACAGACTACAGCTACATCCCGGTGCAAAATAGTAACAGGTTTTACTTGGTGTGGGGATATTTCATGTTGTAATACAGACACTCTCATGGTAGAGCCTTGGTTTGTTTTTTCCTCCAGTTTTTCAGAACATTGTATTTAAATCCTGTAGCAGAGCTTTTTTCACAATATTAAACTTGTATACACAATGTCCTGATGCTCTGTTTAGTTTCTACTGTTGCAACATTAAGTTTTGCATATTAGGGGGAAAAAAAACTGTAGTGAGAGAAACAACACAACCTGTTTTCGGAATGGATTGTGTGTTCATTGTGTTTACCACAAAGCAGCAGTGAGTTCTACTACACACATCTAAAATGAGCAGGAAATTTGTCTCTTGGATTTCTTCTATTGTTATGTGAACAGGCTTAGATTAAGAGAAGAATAAACTGAGTGCATTCAGTTTGAATGGATCCTGTTGAACTTTAGTCAAACCTGATAAATATTAGTATCACCTCTACAATATTTAGAAAGCTTTCCTTAAACCAGAGCAGCCTGAGCTACCACTTACCAGACAAGTTTCTTGTCAAGTTAGGGGTGTGGAAATCATGGTGCGGAACATATTTACGACTATGTTTGATATTCTATATATTTTGTTCTTGCGCGACACTTTCCAGCCTCCTCTTTAAATCAGCCAAGAACAACCTACAACTGCCGTTCATTTAAATAAGCTGTTCCTCTGCAGTCCTGGTATTCAAAAGTGGCCTAACTAATTTACGTTAACAGGCTGTTATCAGGCTAAAATAATTCTGTTTATTCTCACACAGTTAATTTGGTTCTTTGAAATCAGCTTGATTGATTTGTTAGTCCTGGGTGACGTTATCTTACCATTTCTTACCATCTTTTGCCACTTGTTCATGTCATTTCCAACAGTAAGAAACATGCTGGTCAAAGAAAAAAACTAAAAGAAGAAAAGGGAACAAGAGACCAAAAGTTGTGAGCAGGCAATTTATTGAAAACAACAATTTAACTGAAATAGGCTGTTCATCAGCTGATCAAAAGTTTAAGACCACAGCCTTTAAAAGGCAAAATCTGTGCAAAAATTTGGATTCCATGTCATTTCCTGTCAAGTAATCACACTGTGAAGGTCTCTTGATGGCAAAGGCAAAAAAGCTCACCGTCTTTGAACGTGGTAGGGTTGTTGAGCTGCATAAACAAGGCTTCTCACAACGTGCCATCGCTGCTGAGGTTGGACGCAGTAAGACAGGCATTTTGCATTTCTTAAAAGATCCTCAGGGTTATGGAACAAAAAAATCAAGTGGAGACCCAACAAAATCTCACCGGTGTTGAGCCGGAGGATCCGAATGGCTGTCCATCAATACACAGGACGATCCTCGTCCCAAATTAAGGCCATTACTGGTGCTGACTGCAGCCCAATAACCATCAGACAGCATCTGCGAAGGAAGGGCTTCAAAAACAAGAAACGTCTTCAAAGGCCACGTCTTCTTCAATGCTACAAAATTGCCGTTTGGACTTTGCAAAGGAGCACCAAACACGGGACATTCAAAGGTGGAAGAAAGTTTGATTCTATGACGAGAAAAAATTTAACCTTGATGGTCCTGACGGCTTCCAGCGTTACTGGCATGACAAGGAGATGCCATCTGAGATGTTTTCTATACGGCACATCGGAGGGGCCACCATCGTGATCTGGGGTGATTTTTCCTTCAATGGAACAATGGAGCTCAGGTTGTGCAGGGGCGTCAAACAGCAGCTGGCTATGTGGAGATGTTGCAGCGGGCATCCCTCATGACTGAGGGCCCTCGTCTGTGTGGTAATGACTGGGTTTTTCAGCAGGACAACGCTCCAATTCACAATGCCTGTCTGACCAAGACCTTTTTCAGGAGAATAACATCACTCTTTTGGACCATCCTACGTGTTGCCCTGATCTTAATCCAATTGAGAACATTTGGGGGTGGATGGCATGGGAAGTTTACAAAAATGGACATCAATTCCAGACAGTGGATGCCCTACGCGAAGCCATCTTCACCACTTGGAGAGACATTCGCACTAGCCTTTTGGAAACACTTGCATCAAGCATGCCAAAACGAATTTTTAAGTGATCGACAATATTGGTGGAGCTACTCATTACTGAGTCAGTTTTTGACACTTTAATTTCTATTTTAGAAGGCTTTTGGGTTTTTTTGAGCTGTGGTCTTAAACTTTTGATCAGCTGATGAACAGCCTATTGCAGTTAAATTGTTGTTTTCAATAAATTGCCTGCTCACAACTTTTAGTCTCTTGTTCCCATTTCTTCTTTTGGCGTTTTGAAGCTCTACTTAGAACCTTCCAAAGATCAAACGGTGCAAAATGCAAATTCATGCAATTTTTTAACTGGTCTTAAGCTTTTGATCAGGAGTGTATGAGCATGTGAAAATAATAACGACCCAACCTTGTTTCCTTTTCCAGTTTAAATTTCTGCACACTATCATAATGTGCATTTACAGTGCAGCATTTCAGCCTCTGGGGTCACAGCTTGAACAGCTCTGTCAGTCTGTGACCTCCTTCATTCAGTGGCGTCCTATCTGAATCAAACCACTTCTTAACACTGTCATTATGACACCACGGCTATAGAAACCATCAGTATTATGCAGAAAGGCAGCATAACAGGACATTGCATTGCAGATAGGTATCTTGTGTAGTGTAGTATGAACCAGTGATGGAAGAATTACTCACCAAAGTAAAAGTTGGAATACTACAATGTAAAAATACTCATAACAGCCCCACACTCCAAACCTTACGTGGTCCAAGTATTCATTACGCAACAAAACTGACTCTCTATTTTTTTATATTACACCAGTGCTTATTTTCTCATAAAACAATAAATGCTGTTAAGTGTCACAGTGGTGCAGAATGCTGTTGGCCAACTTAAGACCTGAACATGGACCCCCGAAGACCCGAGAACATCGAGGGACCTGTGGGAGCTGCCGTGGAGAGGCACCGTGACGCTGCTGGTAAGACAACTTTCAATTACAAAAACTAATGTAGCTTTTTATTGACGGACTTATTTTATGTATTCCTCTAAAATCGTTAAAATTATGTTGGTGTAGAAATTAGTGTGATTTTCTGAATTTTAACTGTTGGTTAAAAACACAGATTTAATGATAAAGTTATTGAACTTTTTTCAGTGTAAAATGATTATTTGCTGAATAAAATGTTAGAATTTTTTCAGGAGTGGGTTAATTTCATTTATTGATCATTCGTGTGGTGATTCGTAAACAATGTTGTTTTTCATTTGAGAAAATTGACAAAATATACATAAAACTGACTGAAACTGAAAAAAACCCAAAAACTGACAAGGCCAGAAATGCTAAGATGCCAGAATTGTGTTTTCTCCACCATGGAGACGATGGCGTGTTTAGAACTCAGCAGGTGTCTCCTGTGTTCACTGTTTGAGTAAATTTACTGTGAGCTAGTGTCTGATCGCCATCCTTCACGTTTCAACTCAACTTATTTTCACATGTTGCTGAACCTGAACTATATGCGTGGCTGTTTATGGACCTTAAACGTGAACTGTTGTGTTTATTCATCACAAATGATTTTTGTTGAGTCTCATTAGCCTGAAAAGTGATTCTTTTACACACTACATGTGCTGCAATTTGTCATCATCAGCATAACTCTGACATCAATGGCCGTGTGCCACAGAGTAACTTTCAGACTTTTGGTTTGTCTCAGATGGCAACAGATCCTTTAATCTTCCATCCATCCATTATCTATACACCGCTTAATCCTCACTAGGGTTGCGGGGGGGGCTGGAGTCTATCCCAGCCGACTTAGAGCGAAGGCTTGACAAACATTTGACATTTAAAACTTCCTTACAATTTTCATTTAAAAAATACATTTCATGTGCTACATAGAAAACATCCAAAACATCTACATTTTTTCATTTTAAAGAGGTCTGATTGTAAATGACACTGTTGAGAACTGAGACCACAGGCAGGTAAACTGGCAAAAACACCTGGATGCTGCTAAATTCTTTACTTATTTACTTATCGTCATTTGTTAAAAGAAATGCCATGGATTTAATACAGTGAATTTAATTAGTTCTATTAAGATTAAAGGTGGCTGCAAGGTGGCGCAGTTGGTAGCACTGTTGCCTCGCAGCAAGAAGGTTGCCGGTTCACGTCCCGGTGGGGCACTGGAATCTTTCTGCGTGCATGTGCATGTTCTTCCCGTGCAGCGTGGGTTCTCTTCAGGTTCTCCGGCTTCCTCCCACACAGTCCAAAAACATGTTGAGGTGATTCTAAATTGTCCATAGGTGTGAATGTGAGTGTGCTTGGTTGTCTGTCTCTAAGTGTGGCCCTGCGATGGACTGGTGACCTGTCCAGGGTGTCCCCTACCTTCGCTCTAAGTCGGCTGGGACAGGCTCCAGCCCCCCCGCGACCCTAGTGAGGATTAAGCGGTGTATAGATAATGGATGGATGGAAGATTAAAGGATCTGTTGCCATCTGAGACAAACCAAAAGTCTGAATGTTACTCTGTGGCACACGGCCATTGATTTCAGAGTTATGCTGATGATGACAAATTGCCATCCAGTCTTTGAGTAACCTGATGCATTGTTGCTCCATATTTTTTTTTTTTACACTAGTTATCTATTTTGGGCTTCATGAAAAGAAAACATTTAAAAGCTCAGGATACTGCCATTGTCTGCTGTTGCCTTCATTGTTGCCTCATGCAGTGATAGAATTATTATGAGATGTAGGGGAGGACATTAAAATAGGAATAGAATTGGAGGGAATAAGGACAGGAAATGATAAGTGCAGAAGCACACTGAAAATAAGAACCAAGCTTGTGACTGGTATCAATATACAATGCCAAGAATTAGTATTGAACGAAAATATACTGCATTAAAGAAGTTGCACACATTGCATGGGATTGATTTTATTTTATTTTATAACCTTTGCAACAATGTAAACAAAAACTGAAAATGTAAAAGCTTTGTTCATGTAGGATGAATGGCAGAGCTGATGTATTTGACTGCATTGGATTGGACAAGTGTATCTAATGAGGCGGCCAGTGAGTGTATATGTGTATAGTTTGGCAAAAATGTTATAATACTAAATCATGTTTTTTTGTGTGATTCGGCTCTTATGTATTTTTGCATTTTATTTTATTTTTCATTTTTTGTATTTGAGCTATTTCCTCAGCCAATAATACA